GATACATAAAAAGATGCTCAACATCTTTAATTATCAAAGAAATGCAAATCAAAACTACAGTAAGATATCAGCTCACACCAGTCAGAATAGTCATTATCAAAAAGTCTACAAACAATAAATGTTGGAGAGGGTGTGGAGAAAATGGAACCCTCTGACACTGTTGGTAGGAATGTAAATTGGTACAGCCACTATGGAGGACAGTATGGAGGTTACTTAAGAAACTAAAAATAGAGCTACCATATGATCCAGCAATCCCACGCCTGGGCATAAATCTGGAGAAAACCATGGATCAAAAGGATACATGTACCTCAATATTTATTGCAGCACTGTTTACAATAGCCAAGACATGGAAGCAACCTAAATGTCCATCGACAGATGAATGGATAAAAAACATGTAGTACATATATGCAATGGAATATTACTCAGCCATTAAAAAGAATGAAATAATGCCATTTGCAGCAACATGGATGGACCTGGAGATTACCATACTAAGTGAAGTAAGTCAGGCAGAGAAAGACAAATATCATATGATATTGCTTATATGTGGAATCTAAAAAAAATGATACAAATGAACTTATCTACAAAACAGAAACAGACTCACAGACTTAGAGAATGAACTTATGTTACCAGGGGAAAAGTGGCGGGGAGAGGGATAGGTTGGGAATTTGGTATTGACATGTATGCACTGCTATATTTAAAATAGATAACTAATAGAACCTACTGTATAGCACAAGGAACTCTTACTCAGTACTCTGTAATGGCCTATATGGGAAAAGAATCTAAAAAAAAGTGGATATATGTTTATGTATAACGGATTCACTTTGCTGTACACCTGAAACTAATACCACGTTGTAACTTAACTATACTCCAATAAAAATTAGAAAAAAACCTGATGGTGTTTTCTCAATTGTCATATGAAGCTAATTATCCCTGCCTACTAGTAGAGTTGAAAAGGCTAGTAAAATATGTATAAAAGTATTCAGAAAAATTTGGCCCCCAGTAAATATTTAATTAGTAATTATTAGTAATATTGAAAATATTATTTACTGTTAATATTGCTATTATATTTTCACATTAATCTTAATGGTGTATATTTGAATGCATTTATACTTATCATGTTGGTGCACCTAGGTGCTTGCTGTTTCTACGTCAGTCCTTAGTATATTGAAGACATGTTCTGGCAGGATGGGTGTTCTTGTGCTAAGTAATATCTCTGGTGTATACTTAGAAGGAGAAAAGTTATACCACTTTTCTTGCTCTGAAAATTTCTATCTCTTTGTTGTAATAAACAAAACCACTCATTTGAAAAAAAAAAAAGATAACCAATAAGGACCTACTGCACAGCACAGGAAACTCTGCTCAATACTCTATAGTAACCTAAATGGGAAAAGAATTTGAAAAAGAATAGATACATGTACATGTATAACTGAATCACTTTTCTGTATACCTGAAACTAACACAGCATTGTTAATCAACTCTACTCCAAAATAAAATAAAAATTAAAAAAAATTCTGCCTAGAAATCTCCTAACCCTGATCATTGAGTTCATTAGATATATTTCCCAGTTTCCACATTACTATAAGTGACAATGTTGCTAAACTTTCTATCTGCATAAGAAGGGTCCCCTTTCTTCCAGTTTCCAGTAATATTTTTTAAAACGGTTCCTTTAATCCCTCACCAATAACCTCCTCAAAGCCTTATAGGTTTTCACCAACCAACCAGTGCCAAAGTCAATGCTATACGTTTTAGGTTTTATTTTGGCAGCACCCCACTTCCAGGTATCAAAATCTATTTCAGATACTATTGCTACACTACAAATCATCCTAAACTGAGTGGCATAAAACAGCAAACATTTTGTTAGGTGGGTCAGGAATTCTGAGCAGGCATAGATCTCTTGTCTCAGTTTCATGAAAGTTTGGAACTGAGACAGTAAATGTCACTTGGCACGTCTTGACGGCTGAGGGTAGCATCGGCTGAAGGCTCATTCACTCGTATGTCTAGTAGTTGATGCTGGCTGTTGTCTGGGATCTTAGCTGGGCTTGTCAGCTGCCCACCTACACATGGCCTTTCCCTGTGACTACTTGGGCGTCATGGCTACGCTCCAAGAGTAAATTCTAAAGAGAATCAAGAAGAAACTGTCACATTTTAAAGATTTAGCTCCGTGAGTCACATAACATCTCTTCTACTCTAGTCACAAGCCTTCTCAGATTCAGGGAGAAGGAATATGGACCATTTCTTGATGGAAGAAATGTCAAAGTTATTGAAGAATAGCATGTGGATGGGAGATACTGTTGCAACCATTTTTGGAAAATATACTCTGCTGTGATTGAGAACTATGGGATTATAAAGAATGAACACCTGAGGATTCCAGAAAAACTGTCAGAGGGAGATCACTTCTGATCTAAGTTTTAAAGGGTGAACTTGGCAAGAGCCAGTATCATCATGTTCCTAACTTGATGGCAAAGCAAATGGAGTTATATGAGTATAACCTAAATTTTTATGGGTATAACCTCCTGAAGTGACTGTTTTAAAACAAAAACACATTTATTTACACAAGTTATATTGCATTAAGAATGTCCACTTTTGGGCTTCCCTGGTGGCGCAGTGGTTGAGAGTCCGCCTGTCGATGCAGGGGACGCGGGTTCATGCCCCGGTCCGGAGAGATCCCACATACCGCGGAACGGCTGGGCCCGTGAGCCATGGCCGCTGAGCCTGCGCGTCCGGAGCCTGTGCTCCGCAACGGGAGAGGCCACAACAGTGAGAGGCCCGCATACCGCAAAAAAAAAAAAAATAATGTCCACTTTATAGCCAAAATCCACACTAAATAGACGTTTAACAATAACCTGTAAATGGTAAAAACAATCACTGCTTCAAGAGATATAATTCAAATGCATTGGTAACAAGGAGCTATAAGGAACTGATAAAAAATAAAAAGAAAATTCAAACAGGAACATCAGCAAAAAGAATACTGTAGGAGGAAGAAAGAGAACTGAGAATCTGCCACAGTACGATGGAGAGGTATTCAAGGCTGCAGATTAAATGGCTCTACAGTTTGGGGATAAATACAGCCAGGACTGGTCAACATCTAGTACAGAGGGATGACATCGAATCTCCCGTTAACAGCTCTAGGTCACTGTCCCCTTAGCACTGTTCTAGATGGGGTTGTCTATGTGATACATTTTCTTGTTCAAATAATAGTCTGATAGTGGATGGAGGGCCATTTGGATGTCTAAGTGCCCTTCTAATCTTCTGCCCTTTCAATGGAGCTTTGTAGTCAAAACTTCTCAAAGCCTTATCTCATCTTTCTGCCCTATCTTCCACCCTACCTTGGCAAATATTTATTTATTTCTCTTTAAATTTAATTTTATGAATAGCTTTAACATTCACATTATTCAAAAAATCAGAAAGTATCAATGGATTTGCCATGAAATTCTGCCCCCCCCTTCTTGTCCCTGGTCCACTTTCTCATAGGTAACCACTGTCCTTGGTTTCTCGTGTATTGTTCTAGAGTTTCCTCATGAATAGATAAGCAAATACATACACAGACTTTTATTTTCTTCCTACCTACCTTTGCTCCACTGCCTTTTTTAAACACCAAAGATATGTATATGCATATGTATCTTATGTAACCTGTTCTGCATTTTTCATTTAACTACATTTCTTGGAGATTTTTCCCCTCATATAATTATATGGTGAGTTTGTCTGTCTGTATGTATGTATATATTACAGACAGTAAGAGAATTCTTTTTTTTTTTTTTTTTTTTTTTGCGGTACACGGGCCTCTCACTGTTGTGGCCTCTCCCGTTGCGGAGCGCAGGCTCAGTGGCCATGGCGCACGGGCCCAACCGCTCCGTGGCATGTGGGATCTTCCCGGACCGGGGCACGAACCCGTGTCCCCTGCATCGGCAGGCGGACTCTCAACCACTGCGCCACGAGGGAAGCCCTTTTTTTTTTTATTTTTTAAGCAGAGGTCTTCTTAGAAGACCATATGATTTAAATTTATTTATTTATGGCTGTGTTGGGTCTTCATTTCTGTGTGAGGGCTTTCTCTAGTTGTGGCAAGTGGGGGCCACTCTTCATCGTGGTGCGCGGGCCTCTCACTATCGCGGCCTCTCTTGTTGCGGAGCACAGGCTCCAGACGCACAGGCTCAGTAATTGTGGCTCACGGGCCCAGTTGCTCCGTGGCATGTGGGATCTTCCCAGACCAGGGCTGGAAACTGTGTCCCCTACATTGGCAGGCAGATTCTCAACCACTGCGCCACCAGGGAAACCCAGAATTCTTAAACCTCATTTCATTGGAGTTATTGAATAGAATATATATTATTGGGATTAGGACCAATATGAGTTTGAAACTAACCTTTTCAGTTTAAAAAATTTTGATTCAGATTAAAAATTCAGTGTAATATTGGGCAAGTTCCTTGATCTTTTAGAGTCAGTTTCCTTCTCTGAAAGTGGTGACAATAATACCTTGCAGCCTTGTGGTGATGCCATCAATAAAAGTCTAGATACAGATGGCTTAGAACATAGTAGATGCTCAACAACAACTGCCTATCATTGTTATTTCATCACCTGAGTTTGGAATGACACTGATTGTTCTTCAGGTCTCCAATAATCATCCTGATCTGGTTCTGGAGGGACTTAATGATTCCCTCCTAAACAAGTTCCATCTCTATTCTGCCAGGCACTTTGTAAATCAAGTTCTATAAGCCCTTGAAGGCTTCATGATCTCTGATGTGCATCAACAATGCTGTTTAGGTATTTGGTGGTACTCAAAGGGAACAATGAAAGATATCAGATCTTAAATTGAAGCTTGTGTTATGGCTCAGATGAGCTGGCCATTGTGACTTTTTAGCCCTACTTCTTCACCTTTTCCTGTATCCATGCCATTTGACATGTGACTTTGAAGTTCCCCTACTAAAGGAATGGAGCATATTTCCCTGTCACTTGATTTTGCGTTGGGCCGCGTGATTTGATTTGATCAATAGAAAAAGGCGGAAGTGATGGTGTGTCACTTCTTTTTAAAGAGGCCTTGTGTATTTCCACTCTCCTTTTTGTATTCTACCATTGCTGTGAGGAGAACATGTCTAAATTAGCCCTCTGGCCCTAGGAGGATGACAGAAGACATGTGCAGCAGAGCCAACTCAGATGAACCATCCCAGTCAGACAGCCTTGCTGGTCCCAGACAACCCACAGATGTGTAAGTTAAACAAATGGTTAATGGTAAATACTAAGATATTGTGGTTATTTGTTACACAGCAATAGCAAGCCAATACAATTGCACTTCACCAAATGCTAGGAAAACGTTGAAAAATAATAGGAAATTCAGAAGCCACAATTATTTGAGGACTGATTGATCATGCATGGACAGGGTAGGGGTCAGGGAGATTAAGAAATGAAACAGTTAGGTATGTTACAGTGCAGCTAAACAGGGATGAGGAGGGAGTATATAAACCATCTGCAAGCATTTGAAACACAAATAGCAGGGCTGGGCTAAACAGTCTACTGAGCTCCAAGAGGAAAGACTTAGGAAAAAATGCACTAATGCTGAGCCAACAAAAACTTAAGCTGGGCCCGGAAAAAGTCTTCCCGATAAGATCTGCATCACTTCTGCTCCTGAGGAAGGATTAGGGGCCCCCTTCCTTTCATAGTTTTAAATTTAACTGAAGAAGAAAGAAAAATATTGTGGAAATAACCTCTGGCCAACTGGATGGGGGCTAGAATCCACAGTTCAGCAAAGCTGAGCATCCAAATCTCATTACACAGATGGGCAGCTATCCTGTCCCCAGTGATCTTCCTGCCGTCTAATTACATCAGTCTGTGAATTTTAGACAACTTAAAAGAGGAAATATTAGAAATCATCTCTTGACCCAGAACAACCTCTCCTTTAAAACTAGATGTAAGGCACAAACAGACCTGACAAGGAGTCCAGGTTAATGCGCTTTGGGTCAGAAAGGAATTGGACTAAAGTCAGGTTGGCCTTTTAAAAGCTGGCATACAGCCTGGGACTATGGTTGGAGCACTGACGGCCAATACAGGCTGAGGCCTCATTGCTATCATTGCTAAAAAGGCTCGGACAGGCTAGTAAATACTGGGCTGAGAGGGTTTTCTTTCTCTCTTTTTTTAAAAAAAATGTAACAGCAAGATTGTACATTTCGGGGGAAAGTAATTCTACAAGAAGTTCCTGTTCCTTGGATAAATACAGACTTTCAGTGCTCCAAATGGCCATTCCAATTTCTTCTTCAGGAAACACATTTTATTCTAAAAGACCCATTTAGAAGTCTCTCTTGCAATCTGGAGAGTCGAATAGTCTGTTGTTTATACAGAAATGGATTTTATGGGAGTGTTGACAGGGCTCTCTTGGTGGGAAGGAATTCACAGGAGGACAGGATGACATAATGTACCTTCTTGTCATTAGCCAAGAAGGAAGTGCTCTGTCTTTGGCTTTATCAGGAGCTGGGTCTGTGTGAATAGCTTCTCCTGGTATTTGTAATAATCTACCTCATAATGCTTTAAAAATAATTTGGATTGACTTCTGTTGGCTTCTCCCAAATGAATTCCTTCCAGCGTCTGGAAATAGGTAGGTGGGAGAGTTGGCACACTCTCCTTCCTAATGTTGATTTAATTAAAACAGTGTAGTTCCCTCTGGTTGTTTTCTCTGATCTTCTTCAGGATTAATTTTCTTGACTTTCATGAATTAATACAAAGAAATAGAACATTTAGAAAGTAGTTAGAGCAGTGTAATTCCTAGGGGTTAAATATTTTAGTAACAGCAGGGAAAGACTAGATTCTAGGCCAACTGGTAATGATTCTGGAATGTAGATTTACACATGTGTGGGAGAGCCTTTGCTATGTGAGTGATAGAACATGCGCCTATATTTGTATATGTTGGAAATACTTTAATCTTCTGTTCTCTTTTTTTAAACTGAAGTACAGTTGATTTACAAAATTGTGAACAAGTGGAGACAATCTCTACGCTTTAAACAGTGACTACTTCAAAGTCACATGGTAGGTGAAAGAATTGGAGGTTTCTGGAATTAGAAAAAATGTTCTTATCACAAATGGGATACACTTTTATGATAGAATCAAATGAGCAAAAAGAAGGGCGCTTAAATCATCCATAATCTCCCCGCCCAATGAGTGATGAAATCCACACGTGGCAGGGAAGACTTCCCCTCCCGGTGGTCTCCACCTCTATAGGCAAGAGGGAAGCAGGGTCCCGAGAACTCTGTAAACACCCCTTCCACTTCCTTCCCTGCAACTTTCACAGCGTTAGCACCTCTCCCTGCCTTGAGACCAGCAGGATGACTACTCCTGGGGTTACTTATCTCAGCTCACCCCTCATTCCCCAGGACATTAATGCCTGTAAGGCTCTGTGCACCCCCTTCTCTGACCTCAGCTCCCTACTCTAGCTCCCCAAATTTTCAAATCCGCTTTACTGTGCCCTCTGGAACTCATGGTCAGTCATCAACCTTCTTTCTCCATCCTCTTCTCTGAAGTTTCCCTTTGCCATCTTGCTCTCACAAATGAACTCTGGCTCCCCTGCCTCCCTCTCATGTGGTGGCTGCTTTCTTTGGTATACTCTTCACACCACGGAGCCTGGAGATGGGTTCCATCTCCTCCTGATGCTTCTCGCCATGTCCAGATCATTCTCCTTATCTTCTCCCTGAAATTCCTAGCTTTGCATTTCAATCAGTTTGTAACCGCTGTTTCTCCTGGGACAGACATCTTCCAACCCTACCTCCCTCTGTTCCTCATTCCTTAAAGCATGTTCAATGTCATGCTTCCTCTGAGGACTAGAAGCATTCACTACGTCTTGGGGTTTTCAACATCTGCAAAAATAACTATTCCAGGACCCTCACCTCTCAGTTCGTTGGCTTCCTCTCCTCCAATGATCTTGTCCTCCACCCTGTCTCGGCCTCTACATCCTGGCCACACCCTAGACCTCACCATTACCAATGACTGCCATGTCTACATGCCAGTTTTTTTTTTTTTTTTTTTTTTGCGGTACGCGGGCCTCTCACCGTTGTGGCCCCTCCCGCTGCGGAGCACAGGCTCCGGACGCGCAGGCTCAGCGGCCATGGCTCACGGGCCCAGCCGCTCGCGGCATGTGGGATCTTCCCAGACCGGGGCATGAACCCGTGTCCCTGCGTCGGCAGGCGGACTCTCAACCACTGTGCCACCAGGGAAGCCCTACATGCCAGTTTTAAGCAAACCACTCTGATGTTCTCTCTGCAGTTCACGCCCTCTGGTATCCCAGCGACACAACTTCTTCAACATCACTGGCACCAACAGTCCATCGATCCTCCCAGTTTTCACCGTCTCTCACAGCCTCTTCATGTCCTCACCTCCCCCCTTACCGTACTTGGATTTCATGGTCCAAATGACATTACTCCCTCATATCTACTCTTTTTTTTTTTTTTTTTTTTTTCGGGTCTCTCACTGCCGTGGCCTCTCCCGTTGCGAAGCACAGGCTCCAGATGCGCAGGCTCAGCGGCCATGGCTCACGGGCCCAGCCGCTCCGCGGCATGTGGGATCTTCCCGGACCGGGGCACGAACCCGCGTCTCCTGCATCGGCAGGCAGACTCTCAACCACTGCGCCACCAGGGAAGCCCCCTCATATCTACTCTTAATTTCCTTTCTTTTTCTCCCTTCATCATATTCTCTTGGCAAAACCCTGTTTAAATCCAAGTCTCCACTGATTCTGTGTCTGTTCAACTGAGCATGGCTGGTAAAGCTCATGATTATGCTGACTGGAGCCCTTTCCAATTTATGGCCACTAACCTCAAGTGGGCCTCTGTTGCTGCCTGGCAGTCTCACTACATTTCCTAGCTCATTTATACTCCTGCTCCCTGAGTGAGCTATTTCATATCTTTTTTTTTTCTAGTTTGAAATATTTATTGCTGAATAACATACTAAGTGAAGGGGGGGTTTGCTGATGATAATGGAAGGCACTTTATGAATTTTCCCAGTTAATCTTCTTTTTTTTTAAAATTAACATCTTTATTACAGTATAATTGTTTTAAAATGGTGTGTCAGTTTCTGCTTTATAACAAAGTGAATCAGTTATACATATATCCCCATATCTCTTCCCTCTCGCGTCTCCCTCCCTCCCACCCTCCGTATCCCACCCCTCTTAGGTGGTCACAAAGCACCGAGCTGATCTCCCTGTGCTATGCGGCTGCTTCCCACTAGCTATCTATTTTACCTTTGGTAGTGTATATATGTCCATGCCACTCTCTCACTTTGTCCCAGCTTACCCTTCCCCCTCCCCATATCCTCAAGTCCATTATCTAGTAGGTCTCCATCTTTATTCCCGTTTTGCCCCTAGGTTCTTCTGACCATTTTCTTTCTTTCTTTTTCTTTTACATTCCATATATGTGTTAGCTTACAGTATTTGTTTTTCTCTTTCTGACTTACTTCACTCTGTATGACAGACTCTAGGTCCATCCACCTCACTACAAATAACTCAGTTTCATTTCTTTATATGGCTGAGTAATATTCCATTGTATATATGTGCCACATCTTCTTTATCCATTCATCTGTCGATGGACACTTAGGTTGTTTCCATGTCCTGGCTATTGTAAATAGAGCTGCAATGAACATTGTGGTACATGACTCTTTTTGAATTACGGTTTTCTCAGGGTATATGCCCAGTAGTGGGATTGCTGGGTCATACGGTAGCTCTATTTGTAGTTTCTTAAGGAATCTCCATACTGTTCTCCATAGTGGCTGTATCAATCTACATTCCCACCAGCAGTGCAAGAGTGTTCCCTTTTCTCCACACCCTCTCCAACATTTATTGTTTCTAGATTTTTTGGTGATGGCCATTCTGACCGGTGTGAGATGATATCTCATTGTAGTTTTGATCTGCATTTCTCTAATGATTAGTGATGTTGAGCATTCTTTCGTGTGTTTGTTGGCAATCTGTATATCTTCTTTGGAGAAATGTCTGTTTAGGTCTTCTGCCCATTTTTGGATTGGGTTGTTTGTTTTTTTGTTATTGAGCTGCATGAGCTGCTTATAAATTTTGGAGATTAATCCTTTGTCAGTTGCTTCATTTGCAAATATTTTCTCCCATTCTGAGGGTTGTCTTTTTGTCTTGTTTATGGTTTCCTTTGCTGTGCAAAAGCTTTTAAGTTTCATTAGGTCCCATTTGTTTATTTTTGTTTCTATTTCCATTTCTCTAGGAGGTGGGTC